CTTGTGTTCATGTGAAAGACTTGTGAGACTGCCTGTGTAAAATTTTGGGATAAATACCTGCTGTAACTTTCAATAAAAGGCTTCTGCTCATTTCACTGAACAGTTGTCCACTTTCTTTCTTTCTCTTTCTTCCTCTTTATATCTATCCTTCCATCTTTCTTTCTTTTAATATCTATCCCTACAGATTCGCCGACGCCACCACATCTTCCAAGGGACTCCCCAAAACTTGCAGTGGCCGGCCCCCCGCAATAGGGGACCCCTAAAAACCCTGGAATTTATTTATTAAAAATTATGTATTTATTCTTACATGTTTAAACTTCGATCACCTTCTAAGCACCCTCCGTTTGATGCAATACACTTATCAAGGCGACTTTTTTCCCACTGCTCAAAACAGTTTTTGAGCTCATCAAGTCTTATGTCTTTGAGTGCTTCTGCCTTTTTTGTTTCACCTCTTCCATATCTACAAAACCTTTCCCTTTGAGGACTTTTTTCACTGGGGGAAATGAAAAAAAATGTCACTCGGGGTGAGATTGGGTGAATAGGGAGGGTGGGGCACAGGAATTGTGCCATTTTTGGTCAAAAACTGCTGAAACTGCATGGTGTGGGCAGGTGTGCTCATAAATCATGAAATGGCCAAATCTGTTGAAAGAATCTAAAAAAAAAAAAAAAAAAATTTAACTGAAGCCAAACACAGCTTCTCACAACAATGTTAGCTAGTACATTGATGCTGATGGGTTCCTAAAACACTTACCTAGCAGGGGAAGTCTGTCCTACAAGGGGACAACCCTTCAAAAAATAATTATATTTTAGGGGGTCACCCTTGCATACAAAACTATAATTTGTCAATTTACAAATAAAAAAGTTAAAGAAAATATTTTTTAAAAAAGAAAAAATTATTTGGAAGAGGTAGATTAAGTAACAGGTGAATATTGTCAAAGAGAGAATTAGAGAACTGGAAGACAGATCCAAATAAAGAGTGAAGGATTAATGCAGACACACGAGGTGCTAGAATATATGAAAGAGACAGAAAATGTACTAGGAAGATATGATAAAGAAAATATGGAAGAGCTACTATATAAAGAGATCAAGACTGAGATTTTTCCGAATTATTGAATGACTGAATATATAACTTCAACCGTAAACTAAAAAACCCATTATCAAGTAAAGAGTTCTTACTTCTCCACTATGTAGCACTTAGCCAAGTTACAATGAAGGCGTTTTCTACAATTTTTAGCAGTAATCAGGCTGTGAGGAAGACATGATATTTTCATGATGTTACACTAAAATCAGATAATATTGTGAAAACACTCTGTCTAGTTTGCATTTTCTTTATCCACCAAATTAATGTTTGTCTTTTTTCGAAATTGCTTTTCTGTGTTTAGTCAAAACCAGGAAACACTGAAATCTAGGCTGTAGGCTAATATTGAAATCTCTGAAGACCATCAATGTGTGGCACAGTGTTAGACACAGTTGTGGTGGTATAAGAAATATTGGTGTTTGACAACCAGTATGATCAGGGTCAGCAATGACAGGAGATAAGAAAGTTTGTGGAAATTCACATCTGAAGGAAACCAATCTAACAGAGCCTTTCCAGACCTTGAAATAAAATTGGATTGAGCAAATACCATCCTAACACAGATGTCCCCCAACCACCTTATGGGAAGGGCTCAGGTTGTAGAAAGAACCATCTAAGCTAACATTTATGAATCATTTACTATCATAGGGCATGCGCTGAGGAGAGGAAAATGGGAATTATTTTATGTCCTGTTTGACTATCTTTAGCCTACATAACTGAAAACAAGTTGCTTATATTTTCTTTTTTTCTTCTTGAGTTGAAGTCTTGGCCACCGCAGCATCTACCCGCTGGGCTCCGTCGATCCTTCAGCCTCAGCCTTCCAAGTAGCCAGAATTATAGGCGCGCACTACCATGCCCGGCTCATTTTTGTTGTATTGTAGAGACGAGGTCTCGCCGAGTTGCCCAGGCTGGTCTCGAACCCGCAGGTTCAGGCAATCCACTTGCCTAGGCCTCCCAAAGTGTTGGGATGACAGGCTGAGCCACTGAGTCCGGCCGCTTATATTTTCTAAATGCGTCAATGAATTCTACTCTTGGTGTGTTCAGTTATTACCATTGTAATACCAAAGAGCTTCTCATGATAAAATAAATAAGTAGAATTAATTTATAGAGAAGAGCAAACTTCACGTGAAAAAAAATTTTTTTTTTAAATTCATACAGTTTGGAGTTGTTGAAATCCTTTTATCTGAGCTCAATAAAAACATATACAAATCAAAATTATGCCCATGGGGGAATGGTAAGAAAAATGTTTTTTGGTTTAGTCAATTTGGTCTGCTCCCTGCAGAAGGCTATGAATCCACCAGACACAGCATAGCCTTGGCCTCAGGGCAGCACATTTCAAAATGTAGGGTGCACCAGCATCACCAATAAGCTTGTTAAAAATATAGATTCCTGAGCTCAAGTGGAAGGATTCTGATTTAGCAGGTTTTGGATGAAGTCTAGCATTCCTCCTTTTTTGCAGGTACCATGAGTAATGGGGCGAGTGGTCTGGAGTACCCCTCACAAAACTCTGCCTTGGGAGAAGCAGAGACCCAAGTCCTCCCTCTTCCATAAGTCCCAAGAATCGTAAGCAACTTCAGCTCTACCACAAAAGTGATCAAATTTTCAAGGGTTCAGTTTGGTCTGAATCCTCTAAGAGACTCTGAACTGGAACCATTATCCAAGGGGCAGATTAAACCGTCATGATCTTCATAATTTCTTGGCATGAGGTAAACTGCTATTGATTATGCCAGCAGCCTTTTTTCTTTTTTTTTTTTTGAGTCAGTCTCACTCTTTCACCCAGGTTGGAGTGCCATGGCACGCTCACGACCACTGTAACCTCGACCTGCTGAGCTCAGGCAATCCTTCTGCCTCAGCCTTCTAAATAGCTGGGACTATACAAATTCACCACCACGCCTGCTAATTTTTTTTTTAAATTGTTGAGTCGGGGGCCTCTCACCATGTTACCCAGGCTGGTCTTGAACCCCTGGGCTCAAGCGATCCTTTTGCCTCTGCCTCCCAAAGTGCTGGGATTACAGCATGAGCCACCATGCCCGGTCTATGCCAGCATCTTTAACAACAGATTTAAAAGTATCATGTGTTAGAGAAATTCTTTTCGTGAATCTACTCCCTCCCTGCTTCAAAAAGAGATTGACCTCACCTTTTTATTGTCGTTATGGTAATGGGCCATCTTCCCTTGGTATTCAACTGCAGATTCAGTTTCAAGAACGGGAAAGAACACTTTGGGCAAAATAGATGTTTGTAACATTTTTTATTTAGCATGAAGAGTGGGCAATCAATATGTTTACCTGATTGCATAACAGCCAATTGGACACCGAGGCCTCTTTAAAGTAAAGTACCACATTGAGTGGTTCAAACCAGGGAGGTGGAGAGGCTATGTAAACATCTTTGGTAAAATACAATTAAATTTGTTCTTACTTTGAAACAACCCTCTAAAGTATCCTTTAGCAATCGTTTCCTTAAGAGAAACCATTATAAGAGAGAGACTGTTATAAGTGACATCCTAATTATTACTAAGACATAAGGTTTTGTCATTTCTGTTTAATGTATGAACCACATGCATTTGTTCTTACTCAGAATGAGTCCATCAGGAGGGACAAAATGTGAAATATACTTAATTTAAAATCCACTTATTGCCAGGCATGGTGGCTCATACCTGTAATTCCAACATTTTGGGAGGCTGAGGTAGGCGAATTGTTTGAGCCCAGGAGTTCAAGACCAGCCTGGGCAACACAGCGAAACCTTGTCCCTACAAATAAAAATAAAATAAAAAATTAGCCAGGAGTGGTGGCACACACCTGTAGTCCCTGCTGCTCAAGATGCTCAGACGGAAAGATCATCTGAGCCCAGGCTGCTGGGATCCGTGATGGTCATGATCATGCCACTGCACTCCAGCCTGGGAGACAAAGTGAGACCTCGATTCAAAAATAACAACAAAATCTATTTATTAGCATGAAGCTCCCCTGCCCACTGACCTTTACGTTACACAATGTTCACTTCAAAGAGTTAACTATGTATCATCTCCCCCCCACACACACACACTTTTTTTTTCCTCCAGACCTTTTTGGTGACTTTGCAAACCAACCAATAATTCAGCACAAAGGCACCCAGAATCACACTGGCATGTTCCATGGGATTCGTCCCATTCTGAAAATGCCCAAACAGCAAACAGCAGAAGTAAATGGAATCAAATGTCAGAGCCAGCACAGCCTGAGAGAGCCTTGAAACTCAGACACCACAGACGATGGGGAAAGTGTCCTGCCGTGGCAGGAAATAATGGAGACATAGAAAATGGCAGCCAGACTTCTAAGAACAACCCTTGCTCTGTTCTTCCTTGGTATCTTTGGGGTGCTGGGGGCAGCCACAATATCATGCAGAAATGAAGACGGGAAAGCTGTGGATTGGTAGGTAAATGACACATCAGGTTTGGTGTTTGCAAGCAGAAAGCCAGAGGGCGGGAGGCAGTTGGACACGGTGAAGTTCCCTTGCAAGAACTTTCAGTTGTCTGCTGCCTTTGAAAGAAAGGGAGCTAAAGTGTGCAAGTGTGTCGAATACCCAGACAGGGATAGGCATGTGGGAGTTTCTCCCTGAGAAGAGCCGAGAGCCCCTCTCTGGCTTGTTCCCTGCTCTGAGCAGGCCGAGGCTGGTAGCCATAGAAGTGGAACTGAGCTGACAGCTTCTCTATTTGGATATTTCCTTTAGTTATGCTGTGGTTTTCCCTAACGGAGCCCTCCCAACGTCCTTCTGACAAAGGGGAGAAGGCAGATCGCTTTTCCTCTGAAACTGGACCATGTGCTTCTCCTCATGAGAAGGAGGAGGGGCCCTGATCATCCATGGCACTGTTTGGCTAACCTCATTTTGTTCAGCAGCTTGGGCAGCTGTGGGTGTGGATGCTACCATTGGCCTCTAGCACAGTGTCAAAGACACTAAACATAGCATTGCATTATAGTCATGGAGTCTCATAAAACTTTGAGCACTTTTCCACTCTTTCATTAGAATGCTTAGGCTTGCCTCTGTGGTTGCTGTCAAGCTTTTCGTGTAAACTTCAGGCTAGAGAACCCAGATATTCTCGCTCCCTCAGTCTTCTAGCAGTTACTGAGCTCATATCATGCCCTGTGCTGAGTTTTGAAAGTACAAATATGAGCCAATTACGGTGGCTTATGCCTGTAATCCCAGCACTTTGGGAGGCAAAGGAGAAAGGAATGCCTGAATCCAGGGGTTTGATATCACCCTAAGCAACATGGCGAGACCCCATCTCAAAAATTAAAAAAAAAATTAGCCAGGCATGGTGGTGCGTTTGTGTAGTCTCAGCTATTTAGAAGGCTGAGGCAGGAAGATCACCTGAGCTCAGCAGGTCGAGGCTGCAGTGGCTGTGATTGTCCACTGCATTCCAGCCTGGGCAACAGAGTAAGACTCTGACAAGGGGTGGGAGGGAGAGAGAGAAAGAGAGAGAGACAGAGGAGGAGGAGGAGGAGGAGGAAGAGAAGAAAGAAAGAAAGAAAGAAAGAAGGAAGGAAGGAAGGAAGGAAAGAAAGAAAGAAAGAAAGAAAGAAAGAAAGAAAGAAAGAAAGAAAGAAAGAAAGAAAGAAAGAAAGAAAATGCAAATATAAACAAAACAGTTCTTACCCTCAAGGAGCTCACAGGTATATGGTAAGGGCATAGATGGGCATTGGGGAACAAAGATCCCAGGGGCTTCTCTGAAGAAGTAGTTTTGGGGCTGTTTTCCAAACAATCATGAAGTAGCCAGAAGGGAGAGGCAGGGGTGTCTCGGGCCAATGAAGGAGCAATGAGGAGATGGGCAAGAAGCAACATGGAAAGTTGGGAGTTGCCAGGCAGGTTGATATTGCGGGAGCTTCAGGAGAACATGGGAAAATGGTGGGAGATGAGACTAGAGACATGAAGGGCTTCGTGGGGTGTGAACTTGACATTGAAAGGGACCTACTGAAAGCCTTCAAGCAGGGGCGTGTCCTGCTCAGATGCACATTTTAGGAAGTCTCACAGCAGTACTGTGAAGTCCAGTTGGATGGGGGTCAGCGTAGAGTCACAAGATGAGGAGGACTTCTGCAGCCGTGCAGGTGAGAAGAGGTAAAGGAGTAGCAGCACAAACGCAGAGGCAGAAACGTGCTGAGAAGACTTGGTAATGCATGAGTTGCAGAGGACAGGAGGTTGGGAGAAGTTACGAAAGATGTGGCTGGGCATGGTGGTTCAGCCTGTAATCTCAGCACCTTGGAAGGCCGAGGCGAGAGGATTGCCTGAAGCCAGGGGTTCAGAACCAGTCTGGGCATCTTGGTGAGACCTTGTCTCTACAATAAATCAAAAAATTAGCCAGGCATGGTAGTCCGTGCCTGTAGTTCCGCCTACTTGGAAGGCTGAGGTGGAAGGATGGCCTGAGTCCAGCATGTCACTGCTAGGGTGACCGTGAGTGTGCACTCCAGCCTGGGCGACAGAGTGAGATTGACTCAAAAAAAAAAAAAAAAAAAGTAAAGAAAGACGTTAGGTTTCTGGCTTCTGTGACTACACGGCTATGTTTCCTTCTAGTGTGGGATGAACCAACAGGTGTGGAACAAAATATTACAAACTTGGTTCCAAAAATATGGAGTTGGATGTTTCTGGGACATCTTTGTGTTTACATTTATCTGGACCTCAACACAGAGGTCTGAGCTAGAAATAGGTTCAGGACTCTTGCACACATAAATAGAGACAGTCACCCAGGAGCAATGTTTAAAAATACTAGTTCTCAATGGGTGTGCCATGGCACACGGATAGTCTACAAACCTCTTGCTGGTGGGCCATGAAATTGTGATTAATATATAAAAATGTATCTTTTGCCACAAGTGAATGGACATATTACTCAGCAATATCTGTCAGAGAGACTGTGAGCAACTTGTGGCCAGACTGCTACAATTTACTAAGAAACCATCAAGTAGACACCACTCACTCAATAAAGGTATAAGACTGAAGAGAGGCAAGTAAAGAGTATGAAGCTTCTGTGGACAGTGTGAGACTCGTAATAGTGTATGTATTATAATGTTTAATGCACTGTAGATGTTTAAGGATTAACTGCGGGATTCATGTTATTAGAAAGTATTTGACCAGACTAGTGGTTTTCAACTAAGGGGAATTTTGCCTTCAGAGGATTCCTGACAATATCAGGAGACAATTTTAACTGTTACAACTTGGGGGTATCACTGGCATATAATAAGTAGAGGCCAGGGATCCCTGTCAAGGCACAAGACAACTCCCACAACAAAGAATAATCTGGTTCAAAATGTGAACAGAATATATTGAGAAACCCTGAGCTACGTAATCCAAAAATGCCTGAGTGCAATCTGGGCCCAACCACCTCGCCTCCCCGTGAGATATCCCAGAGGAGATATACAAACAGAAAACAATTAGTAAAGGAAAGAAAAACCTACTTCGTTAGTGGGTCTTGGCCCCAAATTGTCAAGGCAGAAGATTCTGATTAACTGAGCTGAAGCAGGCAGTTTAGGCCAGAGGCTCAAGGGAGACTCAGCCTACCCTGCAACCCACATCTTGTAGCCAACCAGCTGCAAATAGCTGGGCCCACCAAGCACTATAGCAGAAGAGAATCAAGACCTCTCCAGTCCAGGTGTGGGCTTTGTCCTTCTCCCCACTGTCACCATATGGACTGTGAAAGCAACAGTAACTCTCAATGTACATGGACTTTCACCTCACGGACCCCTCCTATACCCAGTCAGAGTCATATTTCTTCTCTGAGGAGGAACAAACATAAGGGTGGAAGAAGATGCAGAGAGCCTGAACAAATCCCTTTTCATAGAGGCCTTCTGTGAAAATCAAGTAAAGGAAAGTGCTCAATAAATGTTAGTAATTCGTAATTATTTCCTTTGTTAGGTTTACCTTTTATAAGTTACCTAAAAGACAAAACAAGGAAAGTGGAGAGACTGGGTTAGAGTACCTGTACCTAGACTCAACAATTAGAAACTGGAGGAGGAGCGAGCAGCTAATGAATATGACCAGCAGTGTTTTGGGAAGAACATTACAACAGCTATATGAAGCCTATGCTTCTAAGGTATGTTGTAGTTAATTGCTCATTTAATCACATACAATGCGTACAACAGAATCCAAAGCTTTCAAAAGATTTTTCCTACTTCCCCACCCAACCCCCGATCCTAGCACCTTCAAATTAGCTACCTCAGAGCTAGCTCAGGATAGCTATCTGAATCAATCTAGCCAACACCTCAGGAGACATGTCATCCTACTCTACCGCAATGCCGAATTGTTGGTCCACTCAGCACCCTGTCCGGTGGGATCACTGAGCGAGACGTGAACTAACCATATATTGAAGTCTTCTGGCTGCCAAAACATCTGCCAATTTGCTCAGTACCTGTTTTCTTCTTCATCCCAAAAGCAACAGGAAGACAAGCCTCTGTTGCCAAAGGCAATATAGATCTGTGATCAATGTGCCATAAGGTATGGATTGTTTATGTCATGGCATTGATGAGTAACCATGATCCAAAGAAAAGGTTCTACTTTATCTTCTCTTTTAATTAATTATTTTCCAAAGGGCAGCTTGAGAACTAGGGCTCTAGTTCAAGGCCGTAGAACGAGCTTGCCTGAATGAAGATTAAACCTGCTATCTGGACTTCATCAGACAATGAGCTGTCCAGCCAAGGAGGCATAGGTAAGTAGGCCTGCTGGCTTAATGTGGGCAGCCTCCCAATGTTCCAGGCACCATCTGTTGTTCAGTTTCAAGATACTGCTTTCCTACCAAGGGTGTCAAAATCGAGCAATAATTATCATCCAATTACAATCATGTCTCCATTTCCTAACAATAACTTATCGAGAAGTAAATATATAAAATGACTCAATTTCTATCATAGGCCGGGCTCTGTGCTGGCTCTTTACATATGCCAAGTAATCTCATGCCCATGACAATACTGTTTTAGCCTCTAGCGCTACTGCACATGTATATCTAAGGATTTACTCAAAATGTGCAGGGAGTTGTTACTGTGTGTGGTAATATTCACTTTATTCATCTGCCCTTAAGACCACGCCTCATGGCTGAGTTACAAAGTTAAACTTTATTTGTAGGCTATTTGAGAACACGTGATACACCAAGCACTGTCCTAGATGCTTTGAAAAAATGATTTAATCTTGACAACAACCCTCCTTTGAATAAATAGACTACATTTGACCCTTGAACAGTGCAGGAGTCAGGAGCATCAACCTTCACTCAGTCAAAAATTTACATGTAACTTTTGACTCCCCAAAACTTGACTATTAATAGCCTACTGTTGACCGGAAGTCTTCCTGTTGACATGAACAGTTGATTAACACATATTTCGTATGTCATATATTATATGCCGCAGTCTCACAATAAAGCAAGCTAGAGAAAAGAAAATGCTATCAAGAATATCCTAAGAAAGAGAAAATATGCTTACTATTTATTAAGTGGAAGTGGATCATCATTCACCTCTTCGTCCTTGTTGTCTTCCCATGGAGTAGGTTGAGGAAGAGGAGGAAGAGGAGGAATTGCTTTTGCTATCTCAGGGCTGGCAGAGGTAGAAGAGGTGGAGGAGGTGGAAGGGGAGGCAAGAGAGGAAGGCACGCTTAGTGTGACTTTAATGTGAAAATACATGATCATTTCTGTCTGATGTTTTGCTTTTTCATTTCTCTAAAAATGCTTCTGTGAAGTACAAATGCTTCTTCCGCCATTTGCTTTAGTTTCAATGCCCACATCACAGAAGAGTTCATGTTGTAAAAGAAGTTAAAAGCAGTCTTGAATAATCAGAACCCTTCTTCCAGATTGTCTAATGTCGATCTGTTTACTGGCACTGCTTTTTCTATGCCATCTGGCACTGGTTCAGAAGCACTCATCTCCACCAAGACATCTTCTGTTAGTTCCTCTGGTGAGGTATCTATTAGCTCTTGAACTTCTCCAGAATCCATATGTTGAAACCATCCCCCATGCCACCTTTTTGGCCATATCCATGTTCTCTTTCATAATTTCCTTTATTGGCTCTATCATAAGTCCTGTGAAGTCATGCACAACATCTGGACACAGTTTTCTCCAGCAAGAATTTACTGTTTCAGGCTTGATAGCCTTCACGGCTTTTTCTATAACAACAAAGTCATCTTCAATGGTGTCATCCTTCCAGACTGTCTGATGTTCTATTAGGACTCTCTTCCACAATCCTTTTCAGAGAGTGCTGTGTATAATGAGCCTTAAAGATCCTTATGAAGCCTGATCTAGGAGCTGAATTAGAGATGTTATGTTTGGAGGCAAGTAGACAACTTCGGTGCCTTTGATGTTGAACTCATGAAGTTTTTGGTGACCAGAGGCATTGTCTAATTTCAAAAGAACTTTGAAAGGCTGTTCTTTACTGACAAGATACCTCGTGACTTCAGGAATAAAGCATCAATGGGACTACTCTAGGAAAAAAATTTTTGATGTACAATCCAAAGACTGGTGGCTGGCATATATCTTTTCCCCTCAAGGCTTGGGGGCTAGCAGCTTTATAGATAAGGGTAGTCCTGATTATAAACCCTACAGCATCTGCACAAAGTAGTAGTTAACCTATCCCTTCCTGCCTTAAATCCTTATGCTTACTTCTCTTTCTTACTAATGAATGTCTTTGTGACATTTTCCCCAGAGAATAGAGCAATTTCATCTGCATTAAAAATCTATTCAGGCAGATATCCTTTCTCCTCATTTTAAAAAATTGAGTTAAAGTCTCACCGCATTGCCCAGGCTGGAGTGTAGTGGCACAATCAACCTGATGGACTCGGGCGATCCTTCCAACTCAGTTTTCCAAGTAGCTGGGACTACAGGTGTGCACCACCACACCCAGCTAATTTTTTTTTTATTTATTGTAGAGACGAGGTTTTGCCATATTGCCCAGGCTGGTCTTGAACTCCTGGGCTCAGGCATTCCTCTCACCTCTACTTCCCTAAGTGCTGAGATTACATGCATGAGCAACCATGCCTAGCCTCCTCAATGATTTTCTTAATGGTGTCTGGGAACTCATCTCCTGCCTCTTGGTTGGCAGAAGCCGCTTCTCCTCTAATTTGGACATTTTAAAAGACAAAGCTCTTTCTAAACTTATCAAACCATCCTTTGCTGGCATTAAATTCTCCAGCTTTAGGTCCTTCACCTTTTTGCTTTATGTTGTCATATAATGACTTTGTTTTTTTCTTGAACAACATTAGTCAATAGACTTTCTTATAGAAACTCTGCATCCATATAAGAGCTGCACTTTCATTATGAGATAGAAAGGGTTTTTTTGCAAAAGTGCAATGTTTTCATGCCTCCTGGCATAGCTGCAGTGACAGCTTCATGAATTTCATTTTATTTTTTTCATAATGGACCTTACACTGTATTCTTTTATTTTGAAATAGCAGATAACTATGGCTGTAGATCTCCACCTATATTACTTATCAAGTAATTCAACTTTTCTTGTAATGTCATGACTTTTCTCCACTCCTTGGGAGCACTTCCAGCTCCATTACTGGCAGTGAATATGGGTCCTAGGGTGTTTCTTCAAGGTTTATAGGATTGAACTAAGTACAGTGAAAAATATGCAAGAATCATGAGATGTCACTCTGTACTGTGATATGAAATGAAACGTACTGAAGAGAGGAGCAGCTCATGTGGAGATGATTTGCATCACATGCATTTAAGCTGAAATTTAAGCATTTTAAGGGTCACAACACTTGAGCTCATCTCAATAGAGATAGGAGGTTGCTATAAAATTATTACAGTCGTATAGTACTTTTACTACAGTTAATTTTATGCAGTTATGGCAATACTCCATCTTTATGTTTGTTTAAATTTCTATCAATTGTGAATGGTGCCAGGTACGGTCTGTAATTGTTTGGGTGCATTAATTTTAACTTTTAATAGTAGATTTATGTATATTTTGTGGGAGTAAACAAAGTAAACTAGTATTTACATATATTTCATGCATTCACAACATACTTAACATTTTCTCTTTTTTTTCTTTTGAGTCATTCCATCGCCTAGGCTGGAGTGCAGTGACACGCACACTCACAGCCACACCAGCATTGACCTGCTGGGCTCTGGTGATCCTTCTGCCTCAGCCTTCCAAGTAGCCAGAACTACAGGCATGTGCTACCATGCCCGGCTAATTTTTGATTTATTGTAGAGACGAGGTCTCACCAATTTGCCCACGATGGTCACAAACTCGTGAGCTCAGACAATCTCCCTTACCTCGGCCTCCCAAAGTGCTGGGATTTCAGGCTGAGTCACCAAGCCCAGCCAACTTTTCCTTAATTGTTTGATATTTCTTAGGCTACATGATTCATCTGCGAGTTTTTCCAAATTGTTGAAAATCTCCCCAAATTTTCAAATATATTTATTTTTTAAAAGTTTGCATATAAGTGCGGTTCAAAAATCAATGGTATTTTGTGAAATGAAAACTGTCTGCAACTGCTTCTGCTTTCTGAGGTTGGGCATGGAGAACAAGAACATAATCCATTACGAGAAAATAAATGCATTGTTCCCTTCTCTATTTCAGAGACTACTGGGGGAGGAAAAGGGAAAGAGAAACATCGAAAAACCTCTGTCATTTACCTTAGTTGGAGTAAATGGCTTTTAATCTGGCAGAATACAGATCTTGGGAGGTGCAAGGTAGCCCCAGACCCTAGGAAGGAAAAAGAGTTCATTCCCCTGCAAAACAAAACAGGAGGCAGAGGGAACCAGGAATTTACAAGTGTAAGAAACATGGAGGGAGATCATGGCAGTATCTTGCGGTGATGTAAAACCTGTCACTATTTCTTTCTTCCTTTTTTTTTTTGAGTCGGAGTCTCACTCCGTTGCCCAGGCTGGAGTGCAATGTCACGCTCGTGGCCACCCCAGCGTCAACCTGCTGGGCTCCGGCAGTCCTTCTGCCTCAGCCTTCCAAGTAGCCAGAACTACAGGCACATGCTACCCCCATCAGCTAATTTTTAAAAATTTATTGTAGAGATGTGATCTTGCCAAGTTGTCCAGGCTGTTCTCGAAACCATGAGCTCAGGCAATCCCCTCATCTCGGCCTCCCAAAGTGCTGGGATGACAGGCTTGAGCCACCGTGACCAGCTACTATTTCTTACCTTCAGTAAAACCTGCTCACACACAATGTCTTGAGCTATTGGTTCAAGGGGTTTGGGGAATGACACTAAAGGGACTTATTTTCATGTCTGATTGGCATAGAGCCAGAAGAAGAGAGCAACAGTGGTGGGTGATATCCAGGTAAGACTTACTGGTCTTTGGAAGCTGGGATTACATGCCAGAAGTGACGATGAGGACATAGCTCCCTCCCTGACTTCTTGACCCGAAATTGGACTTTTTTTTCTTTTTTTGAGTTGGAGTCTCACTCTGTTGCCCAGACTGGAGTGCAGTGGCTGCTCCCGGCCACCGCAGCCTCGACCTGCTGGGCTCCGGCGATCCTTCTGCCTCAGCCTTCCAAGTAGCCGGAATTACAGGTGCGCGTTACCACGCCCGGCTGATTTTTTGATTTATTGTAGAGATGAGGTCTTGCTGCCCAGGCGGGTCTCGAACCCGCGAGCTCAGGCAATTCACTCACCTCAGCCTCCCAAAGGCGCGGGATTACAGGCTGAGCCACCAAGCCCGGCTGGACTTCTAACAGAAAGTGGAATGCAAGATCAGACCAACTGGTTTTAAATCTCAAAAGTCAAGGAGACCAAGGCCAACAGCTGGGTTACATTCGGAATTGTCTACCATCTTTTGTCTTTGTAAGGAGGAACCTTCTACATACCTTTATGAACATCAAATTAGATTGTGGTTGCATGGTACTTGCCTGTCTATATTTCCTGCTAGATTAGGGGCAGAGATTGTAACCCTCTTGTTCAACACGCAATAGTCAAAACAATACCCAACATATGTATTCAAAGGAATAAAGACGTCCAAAGGCACACACCTGTGTCTACCTCTTCTTAAGTCCACCGTCTTTATCCCTTATCAATAGCCTCTCTTCCCGCTAAAACTACAACCCATCCAACCTTAGCTGGCTGCTACACTTTTGATTAGAATAATAAACTTCATCTATTATGAAGAACAAAGTTCCTTTCCAGAGTCCCTCCATGGTGCACCCTAAAGGTACACAAATGGCCTTGTCACTACATTCAATGTAGGCTCATAGAATAACTGACTCTCTGTGGAAAATGAGAGTAAGAATATGGCTTACTATCCAGGATACTCCTAAACACAGTAGCCAAGAATGCTATGTAGACTGTGTTGTGCATGTTTTGAAATGCTGTTGATTACATCAAGTGACTACGCAACTGTTTTCTGAAAGAAAAGCAAGGGCCTGTTTTAAGGAGATAAGTGGCTCTTTCCTACTTCTAATTATATCACTGAGTTTTTAAAATATCAGCATTGTTGGCTTCAATAAAAATCACTGCGTCCTGAATGGAATGGAACCATCCAGAACAAATATTAGCAGGTTTCCAAAGCATGACAAAGGGACGCTATCAAAATAATAGCTTTATTTTGGCTCATAGATTTGGCTATTTAGAAAATGGACTCCTATTTTGCCTTACCAGAGGCAATCCATTATCACACATTCAATTTCACCTCCTTTTTCAAGCAGGAAAATATCCAGTTGGAAAGGTGAAATGACACTGAAAAAATGGTTGGCAGAAAAATCCTCCCATATCTGGGAGGAAGGAGGAACAGATAATGAGGAATCCTAATTAAGCACAAAGCTATGACCAATCAGTGAAGTGAAGCATAACATAGGCATAGGAAATTAGATACTGACAGCCGGTTCTGCACTGTACCTATAATATCAATGGAAAAAAAAAAAACAAAACCCAGGTGTAATCCTTGGTTGATTGTTCCTACTTCCTTTCCTGAACAAATAACTCAGTGTGCCTTTATTATACACTGTTGCTTAATCAGAAAACTGGTTCCAAAACAACCAAGAAAAGTAGGAATATTGCCCTCCTGCAGAGATAGCAATGCATAAAGCTCCTGTCACGTGAGCTGAAATCATGCTCGGTTGAGAATGGACTTCCTTTGCCCTGTCTGGCATGTCACAGAATTCATGTTGATGGGGAAGCTGCCTATTAGGGGAATGGATGGCTTCTCATGTGTATTAATGAAAGCTCTGTATTGCAGGCTGGGTAGCTGGTAGAAATGTTGTGAGCATCTGTAAGTGGAAGATTTACATCATTTTAACCCTAATATATTTCTGCAGAGTAATAACACAGCCTATCTAATATACAATGATGGAGTCCCTAAATCTGTGAATTACAGCAGAAAGTATGGACACACCAAAGGTATGACAAAGGCTCTTGGTTTATCATTCCCATTGGAAATCAACGTTTTCTTAAACACTGCATCTTGAGTGTTCTTATATTCTCTACTAATAGTATATTCCTTCTAATAGTCTATTTTGAGTTATTGAAATGTATGATTTTTATATAACAGGCTATAATATAATGATATGATTTGACTTTATAATCCTCTCTTTAGAAATTCCATTTTGTTTTATTTGTATTTGTATTTTAAAGATGTGGGGCACAATTCAGGATTAGGTATACAAGGGGTCATCATGTTTGGGCCTCCTGTTGGTTCCCACTCTGCCTGGTACCCCTATTGATGCTGTGCTCTGCCCCCTTTATTTTTTTTTTAACATATCTTCAAATATATGTTTTATAGCAGAAATCCAGGCATTGACTACTGGGATTATCAGCAAGTCTATATACTTTATATATATACATGAATAGGAATATATGTGTATATATGTATGTGTGTATGTAGTGTATGTACACACATAAATTTTAGTTAGATTTTTTTGAGGCATAATTTACATAAAGTAAAACTAACTCTTCTTAATGTACAGTTTCTCTGGAAATCAACATTTTAAAAAAGTATTTTAAAATAGATTTTATAGTAATTTTTGTTCTATATTTTGTTCTATATTGCTACTATCCATTATTATTTATTTTTTATTATACTAACTTTTTATTTTTTATTATACTAACTTTTGTGATTTTTCTATTTATAAACTATGCATATATGTTTATGCATTACAGAAGACTTCAAAAGGCAGGAAAACAAAAAAATCTGTAATCCTAATACCCATCAGCTAACCATGCTGTATCCTTTTGATTTGTCTAAAATCCATATTTTACAGCCTTTTTTCAGAACTATTGTAGTGATTATTTTTTCAACCTTTTTTCAATTTAATATATCATGAACAACTTTCCATGGCAACAAGTATTCTTCAGAATGTTCTAAACATAAATGGCTTCAGGAAACAGGCGAGTGATGTTAGCAAGTAAAGTGATCTGAACTAGTACTTGGTCTAAAGGGAACAGTTACCACTCAGCTTGCCTGATGAGGATGCAATTTTTCAGGAGATGTTGAAAATTTAGCAGTTGTGAAAAAATCTCCCCAGTTGTTAAATGTTAGCAATAAATTCAAAGTCTTAAAAATACTCTGCAAACCTGATAACATGTCTCTGTCGGTTGGATTTTGCCCATGGGCTGCTATTTTGCAGTCTCTGATTTAGGAGTCTAATTTGTAATGGCTGTCAAAGGTCACGAGGAGGAAATGTTTTTTATTTAGCAAAGTTGCTCTTCCGATGATCCTATTTACATGGAACCCAACCATTTTTATAACACACCACATTCTCTAACCTCACCTCTAATAATCTCCTACCAATGTTCCTCTTCCATCCTATTAGTTACTTCAAGGGTTTGGAAAAACAAAAGACTGGAAAGGAGTGGGGCTATATGTCAGGAGGAGAGGTTCTCTTTGCCAACACATGTCCTAATAGTCTGTGATATTCATACCAGGAGGTCAGAATTCCAGCAGATCAGCACACTCATCTGGACCAAGGAGAACTCTTGAAAGTTATCCAGCTCTGTTAGGCAATAGAACTTTCAGCATTTTCCACCTTAACAACAAACATTGATCCTATTTTCACCAGTAGGACAACAGTATGTGTTCTTAAGGTGTATTCTTTGGGGTTTTTTGTTGTTGTTATTGGTTTTTTTGAGTTGGGGTCTCACTGTGTTGCCCAGGCTAGAATGCAGTGGCACAGTTAGGCTCAGGCAATCTTTCCGCCTCCCTAGTAGCTGGGACTACGGGTCTACCATGCACAACTAATTTTTTTATTTTTTTACAGAGACGAGGTCTTACTCTATTGCCTAGGCTAGTCTCAAACTCCTAGGCTCAAGCAATCCTCCTGCCTCAGCCTCCCAAAGAGCTGGGATTACAGGCATGAGCCACCATGCCTGGTCCAAGGCATGTTATTTGAAAAAGAAATAACTAGCAAGCGTTTGGTTTCCATTCTAACAATAGAGCAAACACGAATAAATTTTATGTTTTCATAGTCATATACGAACTGGAAAGTCTAGCTGCCATACCAAAATTATCTTGATGTATTTACAAACACAGAAATAGTCATGGGCACCTTTTTGACAGGGTATTTTTGCCATATTACAAGATGACAAACATCCTTCTATGTTCTTCCTTACTTGCTTTCATGTTATTTTGCATAATTCACTTGGGTGTTTTAGCATGGTTTCTTTTTTCTTCTCTTTGCCACGTATGCTGGTACAATTGGTGACTCTTCTGCCAATAAATGAGCATCAGTTTCTTACAACAAATTACTGCAAGTACATTTCTTCATTTTATATTTTATCTTTCAACTGTTTTTTATCCAGCTTTTGAAAATAGCTTAGCTGCTTAGGAGTGAAGCCGCTGTGTAAATCTTGCCAGGTGCCTGGGTAGTTTAGCAAAGTCAAATTCCAATTTAGCCAATCTGCTTTCTGCCAAAACAAATTTTCCTTGTGGCTTCAAGACAAAATCCCTCTTAACTCTTCACAGGATAGCTGCCTTAACTCCCTTTACTGTGTTGGCTTCCTATCAGTAATGGGGCAATGTGCTGTGTGCCAGAATTGCTTTTGAAGTATTTGAAAAATAAACATGATCCTTGTGATGACTGGTCTAATAAAACATTAGCCTAAAGTATAAATGGGCTTAGATGATGCAGCTTTGAATCCTACTTACAATAAGCTTTGTTTCTCTGATTTGTCTGCATTAAATGTATCTTTGGTAGGTTTATTGCTGTGGAACAGAGTTCAGGGGTTCTGGCTGATTCATTCTATTCCCCAGTTTCCTCCAATTCCTGAAGAAGGCTATGATTATCCACCCACGGGGAGACGAAATGGACAAAGTGGCATCTGCGTAACTTTCAAGTACAACCAATATGAAGCAATAGGTAAAACCAGAACAGGTGAAAAAAATGAGACAGTGGTGTTGAAGAAGGAATTTGGAAATGAATTAATAAATGTGTTACCTCATTTGTTCATCTATTCACTAACCCTCTGATACCTAGGTTCTAATCTTGGCTTTGCCATGGTGAGGCCTTGGACAGGCTCATTTACCAGGCTTTGGCTCTTCATCTGTCAATAAAGTCACAGAATTTGTTGGGGGCAGTAGCTTTGAATTTATTCAGAGGCCGTAGATAACAAAAAAATAGGCGAAACAGACTGATGTCACATGGAAATTGGGGATAGTGACAAACTGGGGTGCTGATTTTCCCCTGGCTTCCCTCAAAGGCCTCAGCTCCAGCATATTGTGCCTCTACAATAATACAGGATTACAGATCACCATATTTCTCCTGAGGATCCAGAAACCTAGGGAGTGCTCTGTGTGTGTGTGTCCAACATGACACCTCTGAGCCAGACAATCTTCCCTTAACATCTGAAGCTCAATTAGCCCAAAATACTTCAATCTGGCAAACTATGGTGAGAGAGGAGTAGAAACACTGCTTTATCAATCACTTTCTACTGAGAAGGCTGGTTGCTAAATAGCGGTAAAGAGTGACCTGCCCCTAGATGCAGCAGATTTAGAAAATGTTTCTCATCAAATTTCCATCAAAATGTCTCATCAAAATGTTTCTCATCAAATTTCCATTTTATGGCAAGGATCTTACCTAAATCAAGCTCTAATCTAACTAGTTGAGTTCACATAATGATTAGGAAGCTGAGTAACAGAGATTAGGCATACACATTGAGCAGTTGAATATTCTTAAAGCTGTGCGATCAGTACATGGAATTTTCTGATTTTGTACATGAACATTTACGAGATAAAAACATGGTCTCCAAGGCCAGATTACCTGCATTTAAATATCAACTTCATCAGTTACAAGTTGCATAAACTTGGGCACGTGACATAAAAGCTCAGTTAATTCATCCATAACACTAGAATAATTATGAGAACTTACCTAATAATAAGGTCTATATGAGAATTAAGTAAGAACACCCATGTGAAACTTATGGAATGTCCGGAAAGGAGGAAGTGCCCAACAGAAATCAGTTATTTTAACCAAAATTAATTTGAAAGCTGTTGGTTTAAAGAAGGGGAAGTTTTTTTGCTTTCGTTTTGCTTTTAAATCCACAACAAAAGCAAATACCAACAGGCATTTCATTTCCATTCATGTATTAATTCTCACTTTTCATTATTGTTTCTTGATTCAGATTCTCAGCTCTTGGTCTGCAACCCAAACATCTACAGCTGCTCCATCCCAGACACTTTTCACCAGGAGCTCATTCACATATCCCAATTGTGCACCAGGTCCAGCTCATCAGAGATTCCTGGCAGGCACCTCACCACACTTCAGTCGGCCCAGGGGCAAAATTTCCTCCACTTTGCAAAATCGGATTCTTTTCTTGATGGTATGAAAGACCATTATCAAACAGTATGCTGTATAACTCTGTTGGATGCACTATGATTGCTTAGGAGAAATATTCTGATTGTTCAGGAGAAGAGAGACAGAAAAAAAGAAAGCAAAGAAGAAGGAAAGGGAAAGAGGAAATCAAGGATCCATTCAAACATTAGCCATTTCCACTTGAATAGCAGAGTTGCTGAGCCAACCACAAAAGGATCTCACAACCATCCTTCCAGGGGCCAGGGAAAACTCACAGTCTCCAGCTTCTGCTTGGCACGAAGCCACAGCCATCTCCTCTTCTTCTATTCCCTAAGCAGTTGTTTTAAGCCTTCCTTACTTTCAAGCCTTTTATGCTATCCCACCCCCTCACTCATAGCTTCACTCTCTCCTTCATAAAGAGAACAAAGATCACCAGGGACAAACCACTTTGATATCGCACCCTCACCCCACTCCCAACCTTATCTGTCTTCCTTTTTACCCATTTCCTCCCCCGCTTCAAAAGAAGTGATGTGCCCCTTGATCTGGAACCTACCCCAACCTCAGAATTCCTTGATTTGTCTACTTGATCTATTCTCCCATTTCCTCGTCTACCCTCTCCCTCTCCAGGCTCCTTCTTCATGGCATACAAGCATGCCTAAAACCTTCCCCTCAATTCTAAATCTCTTCCATCTCCATTTTTCCTTTTCTTCTAGATTTCTTTTTTGGAAACCTCTTCAGGGTCTTCTCTTGCTCAATGTTCCTTCACTACATCTTGCTTCGGTCTGTAGACACTCTACTCTCTCACCAATCACTACTGGCTGTCTTCCGTGACCTCACTGTCTGTCTTCCTTATTTGCTTGCTTCCTTCCTTTATGCAATGAATAAAATTCACTGAATGCCTACTGCTAGCCAAGTCCTGTGTTCGACCCCAGAGAGCCAAAACTTAACAGGAGAGAAATAATCTCTGCAGAATTTGGCACTGTTGAAACACTTTCCTTTCTGAATCACTCCTCTTGACTGATTTTTGGGATTATGCAATCTCTTGGTCTTCCTCCCACTCCTTTTAAGTCTCTTCTGCCAGGTCCACCTCCTCTAACTACTCCTTGGGTGATTGTGGTCCTCTACTCTTTCCAATCTAGTTCTCTATACCCCTGCTGGGCAATTCCAGCAAACCCCCAAATGATTCCCAAGTCTGGATCCCTACCCAACACCTCTGTGCTGACTGATGTATTCAACAGTGCTGGGACATTTCTACTTGGAGGTGGTACAGCCACACCAAGTTCAACATGGCAAACTCCCCTCACCATTACCCTCCACAAATTTCCCCATTTTCGTGTATTCTGCACAATCACCCAGTCATTCTAGGTCTCTTCTTTTTCTCACTCCTCTGTCAACCATCAAATTCAGTTCCAGATCCTTAATAATGCTCACATTTATAAAATCCTCTCCAAACTCTCTGCCACTGCCACAGGTCACACCTGTGTTTATTGTCTCAGTTATTGCGACAACTTTATGTTTTCCTATCTCTTTTTGACCTGCCCTTGCCAATACATCCTGCACACTGCCTTTCAATTGATATTCATTAATTTCTATTAATAATTAATTCTTCGCTAATATTTCTTTAAAATTCTCCTTTGATTTCAGGACAATCTAAACATTTTGGCATGGTTTACAATGATCCTTAGAAACTGGCCTCTGATTGCTTCTCTTCTCTTAGGCCTATTCTTTTCAAAGGTCTTTCCAGAACAAAAACATATATTGCTCCCTTGGTTGTGTGGAACAGAAGACATTTGCAGGTGCCAAAATCATCATTGTAATAATGATAAAAATTTGTATTTGCATATCACTTTAGCATTTATAAAATGTTTCCTCATCCACTACCTCAGTTATGTTGTTATTACTGGTCTTGTGACATCTACGTATCAGGAGTGAGTGATGATTTCCATTCCTGAGAATTTTTTCAGGAACTTAACTGTTAACACCAAATTCATTATCTTTCTCCTTCTAAACTCTAGACATCTTTGCAGGCTGGATGGCTCAACGACTGAAGACGCACTTGCTAACAGAAACCTGGCAGCGAAAAAGACAAGAGCTTCCTTCCAACTGCTCCCTTCCTTACCACGTCCACAATATCAAAGCAATTAAGTTATCGCGACATTCGTATTTCAGCTCTTATCAGGATCATGCCAAGTGGTGTATTTCCCAAAAGGGCATCAGAAATCACTGGACATGTATTGGAGACCTGAATCGGAGCCCCCAGCAAGCCTTTAGAAGTGGAGGATTCATCTGCACCCAGAATCGGCATATTTACCAAGCATTTCAAGGATTAGTTTTGTATTATGAGAGCTGTAACTCAACTTGATGAAAGGACATATGTACTAGCATTGAAAACAGTGATAGTGGGTTTCTTCCATTAGAGTCATTCTTTATATAATAAAAGCTTGTGTGCTGAGCGCGGTGGCACATGCTCGTAATCCCAGCACTTTGGGAGGCTGAAGTAAGAGGATTGCTTGAGCCCAGGAGTTCAAGACCTGCCTGGGGAACATAGTGAGGTCTCATCTCCATAAAAGCCCCCAAAATTAACTGGGCATGGTGGTGCATGCCTATAGTCCCAGCTACTCAAGAGGCTGAGACAGAAGGATCCCCTGAACCCAGGAGGTCAAGACTGAGGTGAGCCATTATCACGCCACTGTGCTACAGCCTGGGCAACAGAGTATGAAACCAACTCAAGAAAAAGCCTGTGAATATATTCACAATCCACCTCTCATAAAATAAAACATTTTCCTGTTTGCCATTTTATCTTCTAACTGGTGGTAATTTATTTACTTGGATTTATATGCCATAAACTATTATACATAACTAAAATGAGAACAGAGGAAAAAAAATAGAAAAATAAAATAGAAAAATAGAAAAATATTTTTTTCAGATTAGTCAACTGGCTATTTTGTAGGTTAAACTTCCTCTTCTTCACAGAGACTTTCCTGACTCTCTTCCTCATCCTTTTTTGAAGAATTAAAAAAAAAAAAACAAACCCAACTCTCTCTCTATACTTCCATACTACTTGACCATATTGCTCCTAATGTCCTTCCTCATTGGTTTTTGGTCATCTTAATTGTCAATCTTACAGCTACTACTTACTAATTATATGACCTTGGGTCATTCACTTAAATTCTCTGAGCTTTCCTTTTTTTTCCAGCTATGAAAGGAAGATAACGGCTCCGTATGTTCAAGCACCTAGCACAGAGCCTGACACATAGTTGACATTTAAAAATACTGGTGGAATCTGAGTTTGAATTGCATCCACCCAGCAAAAAAAAAAAAAAAAAAGACAAAAGAAAGTTTTAGAAATGACTAATATTTTTTCAAGAAAAGTGTTAAAGTCATACCAAGAGAAAATAGAACTATATAAGTGCAACTCGCCAAATTGAAGGAAATAAAGAAGTGTAACATAAAGAAACCAAAGTCTAATGATCTTACTTTCAGTATATTTCTTTTTTCTGGTATTCTTATCATTAAACCTAATATTATATATATAAATAATAATAAACTTGTGTTAAGTACTAATTGCTTAATAAAATTCGAGATATGTATGTATGGTTCACAATTTCCAGACACTTGCAGCCTAGTAAAAGTCATCACAACAATAATTAGAGCTAGCACTTACTGGGCATTTACTATGTAGTAGACATTTAGCCGACAGTAATTAATTCAAGATTAATTAAATTCTTAATCTTCATAACAATTTTATGCATTAGAAATGGTTATTATCCCCATGTTCTTGACAAGAAAAACTGAGACTTACAGAGTTTCAACAACTTTTCTAGTACCATAGAAGTCCATCTGACCTCTGAGGCCATGCTATTTAATAACAATGAAAAGAAATCATGCAACCTAGGATAATATATATCTTGATATCTCAATACCGACCAAAATTCATGAGACCTAATGGCACAGGTTCAATGACAAACAGAGAAAAAGCTGACTTTGATTTTCTTAAAGCAAGCATAAACTATGAGTATGTGGAACCTTATTTGGCTATCTTACATGTTTGAAAACATAAAGAGGCCAGGAAAAAACATTGGCCCTTCAGAGGGCGTCTGAGTATAAATAATCCCAATAAAATAATTATAAGCAAAAAATCAAAAAGTGCAAGATCACAATTTTAAAGATGAAGAGGGTCAAAACTTGATCCAATGGTATAGACAGGGATGACCAAAAAGGAAAAAGCATAAGTGAAGAAATTCCTCTGAACTAAAAATATACAATGGGTAAGGTGGGGCTTTCTCCCTCGAAGGGTATATCCAGACCTTCCAGAAAGTGATTGCATCCCACGCTCAATAAAACAATCTGAAGAGAGGGGAATCAGAATCAGAGTCCATAATATAAAGAGTCTTGGAATGTGATCTCACTTACATCTGGAATCTAAAAATACTGATCTCATACAAATTAAGAGCAGAATAGAGATTACCAAAAATGGGGGAGAGTAGGGGGAAGGGAAGATGAGGAGCATTTGGTCAATGGGAACAGTACTACCGTTAGATAGGAGAAATATATTCTGGTGTTCTCTTGCACAGAAGGGTGACTATAGCTAACAAAAATGCACTACATATTTTAAACAGCCAGAAGACAGGATTCTGAATGGCCTCACAACAAAGAAATGATAAGTGTTTAAGGCGATACTAACTACCATGATTTGATCATTATAAAATGCATTCATCTATAGAAACATCACATTGTACCCTATTATGTACAATTATTATGTATTTTTTTTTTTTTTTTTGAGTTGGAGTCTCACTCCATCTCCCAGGCTGGATTGCAATGGCACGCTCATGGCCACCCCAGCATTGACCTGCTGGGCTCTGACAATCCTTCTGCCTCAGCCTTCCAAGTAGCCGAAACTACAGGCATGCACTACCATGCCCGGCTAGTTTTTTATTTATTGTAGAGATGAAGTCTCACCAAGTTGCCTAGGCTGGCATTGAACCCGCGGACTCAGGTAATCCACTTGCCTCAGCCTCCCCAAGTGCTGGGATTATAGGTTGAGCCACCAAGCCCAATCCTATATATTCATTTTTAAAAGTAAAATCTCAACCATATTCATAAAAATACTGGAATGAAAAACCCTTATCTAAGATGGGAGTGCATCTTACAAAAAAGTGTAAGATTGTGTTTGGCTGGAAACTGCTTAGTGTGATTATGAGAGAAAAGAAATTAAAACCAGAATTAAACCTATGGCTCTATGGAGGATGGCAGTTCTAACATGGAAAGGCAAAAATCACTTCTGCTTTGCCCTTGAAAATTGCTTAGATAAGCTATTTTCCACAGTCTGTTGGTATCACCTGACCCTTTTGTCTGTAGATCCAAATGACTGGACAAAGAGTAGGCTTGTGGCACCAAGGAAAATAAGCCATAGGCCAAGCCAAGGCAATCATATTTGGGAAAGTGTTTAAACTAGGAGGACCAAGACTAAGTTCTGGAGCTTAGGCCCACAATCTGGAAAGTCATGTACGGTGGAAATAAGATCATCATTTTCTTCCAGGGAAACACTAACGCAGAAAATGTAGGGCTGTAGAAGGTGAGAGAACAGTTAGAGACACTGCAGGAAGCACAGCACACAGAAAGTAGGAGATCAATTCCCAACTGTTCAGATGTTAGCTGAGTTTCTTATGGAGCTGAGCTATTCTCTTTGGTCACACAGTCAATGTATACCTTCTCTATTATTTCATTAACTGTCCCATTTTTAGCTCAAGTTAGTCTGACTGAGTAGCTTCCTGTTTCTTGCAAGCAAACAATCCCTGTATAAGTCAATGTAGAAACAAGAATGACAGTGTGAGTGCTAAATCATTTCAGTTGAAATAATAACTGAGACATATGAGGCCTAAAAATCAAGTTCAGGAACTTCCACTGTGCACTTACATTGGCAGTATTGTACAAACAACTTGTAAGGATTCATAACCTTGGTATGTCTGTGTCTTGCAACGGTGTCCGTGTCAATGGGTGGTGGTGTCTTACTGAGTGGTGTTCATTATTATTGTTGCATGTTTTTGTGTGCTGTAGTGAGAATGTCAGAGCTTGAATTAGAGCAACAAACAAACATTAAACTTGGCAAGAGTGGAAGTGGAATCAGAGAGATGTTTGTCCAAGTTTATGAGGATAATGCCATGAATAAAATGGCAGTGTACAAATGGATTAAACGTTTTTCTCAGAGGAGAGAAAGTGTCACTGATGAAAAGAGGTCAGGAAGGCCAGTAATGAGCAGAACTGGCAAAAACATTGCAAAAATGTGTCAAATTGTGCATCAACATCACCAGTTAACTGTGAGAAGTATAGCAGACCAAATAAACATCAAGAGAGAAACAGTTAAGAAAATCTTAACTGAAAATCTTGGCATGAGAAAAGTGTGTGCAAAAATGGCCCGGAAGGAACTGTTGCTTCACAACAATGCACCAGCTCACACAGCACTGTCTATGAGGGAGCTTTTAGCCAGTAAACAACTTAGAACACCCTCCCTACTCACCTGATTGGCCCCCAAAGACTTTTTTCTTTACCCAAAGATAAAGGAAATATTGAAAGGAAGACATTTTGATGACATTCAGGACATCAAGAGTAACATGACAACAGCTTTGTGATCATTCCAGAAAAAGAGTTCCAAAATTGCTTTGACAGGCAGACTAGGTGCCGGTGTCAGTGCATAGCTTCCCAAGGGGAATACTTCAAAGGTGATCATAGTAATATTCAGCAATGAGGCATGTAGCACTTTTTCTAGGATGAGTTCATGAACTACATTGTCAGACCTCACAGGTCATAAACAATTCTCCTAGTCTCACAAACTCACATGTTGTACATACCAACAAAGAGTAGAAGTTAAAAAGGAAGTAAATGAGACCATAGCATAGGATGAAGCATAAGCTTTCATAGGAAGCAATATCCTCTTTAGGCATGCAGTCTATGGTATACTCCTATATTATTTCAATAAGTTCCCCATTTTTAAGTCAGCAGGCAGAACTTGGTGGGATAAGAAACAGTAATGGTGGAACTTCAAACATTCAGATATTTACTAGGGATCTCATCCAGCTAAAATAATTCTTTTATTCTTTTCTTACCTCTTTTCTAAGCTAAAATAATTCTTGATTAACCTTTGGCTTAATCCACTGATAATTTCATCTTCCAACGAGCAAATGAAATGACTAAAAGACTTCAACTTTGGACCTAAGTCTCACAAGTAAGGAGGGGTTTGTTGGTGAAACAAAAACAATAGTGACTCAGGAGAATGAATGTTTGTTAGGGAGAGAAAAGCTGAATATAGTCCAAGTTTAGAAAGTCTGAAATTGAACTACAGAGGAAGATATGATTCAGTGGCAAGACTCCTAAAAGGAATGCAGCTGAAGAGGTTGAAATGAAGTCTGACTATGTGATTTCCCCATGAGGGGAAAAGGAAGAAAGTCCTCAGAAAAATCAACGTAACTACTTAACCTGCTTTCTCATAAACTCATATATATAACCTGGGTGTGTACAGGTTATGGAAGAAATAAGTCAATGAATGAGAGTAAAAGAATACAACCTGTATACAGAGTTAGATGAAAGCTACTGGTGGCAAAAAATACCAAAGTTAACAAAAACGTTTATATATTTATACATATTATATATATGGATCTGGATTACATTGGAGCTGATAGTAGTTTGTGAATCACACCCCCCAAAAATCACCGTCTTTTTTCTTTCTTTCTTCTCAGTGAAAGTGAATGGTATTTGTCTTAGTTTGTTTTGTGTTGCTATAACAAAATGC